TGCACTTGTTTTTGAATCTGAATCTTGTGTGTGCTATGACTCAGAGGGTGTTCAGCAGCGGGACTGGTGTGCTGTTGCAGAAGCGGGCCCATGGGTTTAAACCCTGACACCGCAATTCGCCAGGTGTGCAAACTTGGGCAAGAAACTTACTTCTGCTTCCTCACCACAACACAAATCATGGTTCCCAAGACACTCGAGTTTTTAGGAGAATTAACGGAGAGTATATGCACCCCTCAGGACCATATCATACCTTTCTTAATAGGCACATTTCTGGAACTTACCTCACGGGTTTTTCTTTTTTTAAGATTTTATTTATTTGACAGATCACAAGTAGGCAGAGAGGCAAGCAGAGAGAGAGGGAGAAGCAGGCTCCCCTCTGAGCAGAGAGCCCGATGCGGGGCTCGATCCCAGGACCCTGAGATCATGACCTGAGCCCAAGGCAGAGGCCTAACCCACTGAGCCACCCAGGCGCCCCCCTAGTGGGGTTTTTGAGACCATCATTAAGGTTGGGCTCTCAGCAGCGTGGACGGCACGTGTATGTACTTGGTGAATGTGAGGGGCCGTCACAGCGAGTAGGGAAGGAGTGTTTGTCTCGCCTTTCTCACCACTGGCCGCAGGGGATGGTGGGGGACAGTTATGTTTGTTTAGAAGCGTCCCCAAAGAGGCCATTGCCTGTCACCATTCCAGTGATCATAATTAACTTCGTGTGTGGTTCTTATCTCCGAGAACTAGATTTTATAAGTAAGCTCACAGATACTGAAATTCTGTGACTTCTCTTTTGGGCAGAAAACAAACATACCCACAGCCAGAATGCAAAGAATTTAGTCTTCCTTCAAGTCTTGCTTAAACTTGTTACTCCAGCCCCCAACTGGCCCTAACCTGCTGACAGAGGCTCACACACACACACGTGTCAGGATTCACAGCAGAGTCCCTGGGAAAAGTATCCCAATCACCAGCCACAAGTTTCTATCTTCGTGACCCTCGGCCAAAAACAACGTTCCTCTGACAGCTTGAGATGGTATTTTTACTATGAATATGAAATAATTTATAATTAGCCGAAGAGAAGAGGTAAGAAAAAACACGTAAACACTTGTTATCACTTAATAATATGTTACCTTTGAGTAACTAAATCCCATTTACTCCAAAGTGAGAGGATAAAAAAGGCGGGGGCGGGGGTTGAAAGTGGGGGTGCAGGCTTGGTCCTTGGTCGCAGGGCTGGGCTGGCACCTGACCAGTAAAGGTATGAAAAGGTCACATGCGCCTCTCACTGTGTGGCCAGGAAGTGGTTCGTGTAGAAAAGGATTAGGATTTATTTGTCGATTTCTGTCAGCTGCAGCCAACTGAAATCCTGTGAACTGTGCCACGGTCACCCTGGGGTGTAGAAGCTTGAGAGGCTGAGACACCCCCTACCCCCCTCTCACCCCCCCACCCCCATTTCTGTCCTCCCCTGGGAGGGGTTGGGGAGACCTCACAGAAAGACGGAAAGACTAGACCAACACAGGCTCTGAGCGACCTGGGCCCTAAGAAAACAAGATGTTACAAAGACCGTATTTTTTCTATTTTTATAACATTTTATATAACTCATAAAACAGTGCTTGTATAAAAATTCACACAAAGTTTGCTAGAGAGCATACAATTTCCAAAAATGTCCTGGGTTTTTGTTACATTCAGTTTTCTAAGGACGCACTCAAATCAATGGTAAAATGCAGACATTATGCGGTATTTCATTATCTTTGGTAAAACTATTCTCGTTATTTTGTCTCCTCACAGTATTAACTCTGATATCCACTTTGTGCAGGGTCTGCTTTCACTAGGATGTCAGAAAAACATTAAGGCTGGATCTACAAGAGGCAAGTATTTCCAAATGGCATGAACGGCCCCTGGGCCCCCACCTCCACTCCGCGCTCCTACCCACACAGCCAGGCAGGGTGCGAGATCTCAGTGACCTCCCATGAGGGGTCTCGAGACCCCACTGCAATTGGACAAGAATCCAACATTGCGGGGAGGGGGAGGTGGAAACCGAGGCCATCTCTGTAGGAACCCAAGTGGCCATGCTGTGGTGTGGGCAGGCCAGTCACTCTTACCATTTAAACAGCGAATTCTTTCACTGCTAAGTAGATCCCATAGGTTGGTGGATGATTGCTGCAGATGTGGTAACCCCTCCAACCCAAACATAAAAATAAAGGAAGATCTGGGGCCAACACCAAAGGGGGAGGGGCACACTATCGCCCATGACACTAGACACGACTTTATTCCCTGTCAAATGTTTGTGGTCATGTAGACACAGCCCAAGTGGACTGAAGCAGGATTAGAACACTTAGTACATTCATGACTACCTTCATACATTCTTTTAAACTTACTAACAGAGAGAACGAGGGACACTACCAGCTACTGTGACTTGCTATTTTCCTTAACATCAGAATGTGTCTGTGCTAATTCTTTAGTCCTCCAGATACAAGGGGGAAAAAACAAAAACAAGTAAAAAAAAAGAAAGAAGAATTTGGAACGGGGAGGGGGAAGGGATTTACCAACACATTTTATGGAAAATATTAAATTTTGAAAAAGTAAGTATTTTGTACTTCTATTGCTTCATGTAAAAAACTGCCCTGGGGCCCGCCGGTATGGCCAGAGAACTGAGGCGGCCATACAGACAGACGCAGGACATGCAGGTGTTTCCTGATGAGACAGTCCGGAGGGACAGTAAACAACTCTCAGAGTGTGTCCACCTCTCTTCACTAAAAGGGACGCTAAGATTTGGGGGTGGGGTGGTGGGGGTCGGTGGGGGGAGGCCCCACGCAGGAAAGGTATTAAGGAAACCATCAAAATGCAGTTTCCAAAAACTGAACATGCTCTAGGTTGTGAAGAAACACATCTCATCCCTAGAACTTGATTTTTCTAACATGGGGAGACAGGACTTATTATTAATAAAATGATTGTGCTTCTGAAGTTGTAGGGTCGTAGTCCACCCTCTAGAAAGCAGGGCAATTTTCACATGGCTTGGAATCCTCTTGGACACATCCTAGAGACCAGGTCAAATTCCATGGCACTCTCCAACCAACAGGGCTGGCAGGCGAGAGTGCCACTGCCATCTTTGGGTAGGCCGTGCGAATGGGCACGTACATGCGTGTGTGTGTTGGAGAGACTAAGGCATAGAGAAAGGCCCAAGTGAGGGGGAAAAAGTGAGTTTCCTGGCTGCTCTAGTCCCTTCTTTCCAGGCACAAAGAGGCTGAGCTCATTGCTCATGTAGGTCCCCTTCATCCCACTTAAGTTTTTTAGATAGAAGAAATGTGTGTGCACATGTGGGTGGGTGTGGGTGTATGTGAGAGTCATTAAGTCCCTGTGCATTTCTAAATTTCAATAATTTGGGTCTGCAGTTTCAACAGAAATAATCTGTAAATGGCATTTAAAAAACAAATTTACTTAAAAGTCAGACTGGCAACTTTACATTGCTCAAAATCCTGTCATTTAAAAAAAAAAAAAAAGCCCTCTGGGTACAGGCAAAATTATGTCCTATAGCCACCAGAACTAAAGTCCTTATCAGTTGTATAGAGAAAATTCACAGATTGTTTCTATTATTTCTGCATCTTAAGGTAGCAAACATTAAGCCACTAGATTATTAACTCTGCAACGTTCTACAGGGGTTTTGGGACCACCCTGCGTGATTCAGTTCATTTTCCAAATTTCTGGTATAATGTACTTGATTTGGGTGACACCGTTTCCCTTCCCTCTTAGGGCTTTGGACCCCAAAGTCAGGTGGGTAAAAGAATATTGTTTTTCAGGACTTTACCTCTGGGGAATTTCCTGATTGATGTCCCGGAGAATTTGCCACTGGCCTGGAGCAGTGTGACCTTCCCAACCAGTGAAGAAAGAAGATATGTCTTACTCTGAGGCCAGGGGACTGGCCAGAGACATAGGGTAGCAGAGCTTCTGGGGTTCTGAGGCGACAGAACTGGATTCTGGGAGGGGACGGGGGAGCCCCATTTGAACGACCTGTAACCTTCCAATGCCAGGTATCCCCAAGAGGGCCTGAGGCCTGGGCTTGCCCTGAGGAACAAGGATGCGCTATTGACAGGAGGGGCTAGCACTGAGGTGTGGGGAAGCCACCAGACAGCTCGCAAAACCCGGGTGTTGCACAAAAACACACACGGAAAGTAAACAGCTTTGGTGAGCCCAGAGGGGGCCCATCCTTAAATCAAACAAGAAGCCAAATATTCACACACACTCTTTTCCAAGGAAATGTGTCTGCCCCTCCAAAGAGCATCCTTGTGGAGAGAGGGAAGGGGGCAGTGGAAGGACACAGCTCAAAATGACATTGCGTACGTGTTTCCACGTCTACCTACATTCATATCATCATCATCATCCAGTGTTCTCGTCTACAGAGAGCGGGCACAGCATTCTACCAACACGGCCACGGGGAACAGGCCAGGTCGCGAGGGCAGGCCCCCTCCTCAGCACCACAGCGGAAGGGAGGGTGCAACCACCATGGGAAAGGAGGTCACACTTCTCCATCCCCTCGACTGCCATCCGAGGGGCATCTTGATTCTTCCAAAGTCATATGTAAAAGACAAGGTCAGTAAAATTGGTCTCTATGCCACCTGAAGCTATTATTAGCCATCATGCAGGAACGTGGCATTTCTAAAAATTTCATAAATCTGAAACCATCTTTAAAAAAAATCCCAGCAACTGAAGGCATCTTACAGTACTTCGTCTCAAATATTTAAAAGACAGTTTTTTTTTTTAAGTAAAATGGCCCCCAAAGAGCCCAATGATTTTTTTTTTTTCTTAAAAAGGGTTTCTCTTTAATTAAAAAAATGGATAAAAATGGAAGATGTAAAATGTGGGAAGAGGAACAAGAGAGGCGCTGACTATGCATTTGAAATTGCAGGGGGTGGGGCGGTGGATGGAGAGACACGGCCAAGAAGAGAAGGGCCGGCTCCCGAGGCCTCTCCGCTCTCCCGGACTCCGGCCGCACCCTGGGGACACGGGATTGAAAATCGCCAGGAGGAGAGACGCACGCGAAGCTTCTGTCCCTCCTGCGGCTGCGCGGTGTCCACGTGTGCAAACCGAGCGAGCCCCTCCCCGCCACCGTAAGGTGCGCGTCTGCGGACGCCCCTGGCGCGCTCCGAGAGCACGCGCAGTCCCAGGGGGCGCCCAGCCGTCACTTCTCCACCTTCTTGGCCTTCTTCAGAATGTCGCATTTCTTCCTGTTGGGGCGGCGGCACCGCTCGTCGATGCTCGGGATGCACTCGTAGTGCCACACCTCCTCCATCTTCTCCACCGGGTACACGGCCTCCACGTAGTGGCGGATGAGCCGCAGCCGCGTGGGGTCCAGCTGCTTCTTGTTGCAGGCGCCGGAGTGGTTGTACTGCAGCCGGAGGTTCTCGGCCGTGAAGAGTTCCGGGAAGAGCCTGACCAGGAGCCGCGCGGCGAAGTTGCCCACCGACAGGCTCTGCTGCACGATCTCGCGCACCTCCTTGTCCGACAGCAGGTACGGCGGAGGCACTGGGAAGTCGGGTGAGGGGACCACCAGCTCGTCCAGGGGGATCTTGCAGAAGTCCTTGCTGCTCCTTTCGGGGGGCAGCGGGGGCCCCTCGAACTCCTCTCGGAACCGCTCGGGGTTGATGGCGTAGCTCGTCAGGTCCCTGCACTCGGGGCCCGGCACGTGCACCTTGCGCTGCTGCTGGTAGGAGCGCCGCTGCTCCGTGTCGCGGCGGCGGCAGCGCTCGTCCAGCTTGCCCACGAACTCCAGCGTCCAGACGCGGTCGTTCTTGGCACGCGGGTAGAGCAGCTGCACGTAGTGGCGGATGAGCTTGATGCGGGACGGGTCCAGCTGCTTCTTGCCCAGGGAGCCGCTGCAGTTGTACTGCTTGCGCAGGTTCTCGTGCGTGAAGAGCTCGGGGAAGAGGTGCACCAGCAGGCGCGAGGCAAAGTTGCCGATGGACAGGCTGCTCTCATAGATGCTGCGCAGCTGCTCCTTGCTGAGCAGGCAGTCGGCTCCCGGCACCTCGAAGTCGGGCTGCGGGATCTCCAGCTTGTCGAAGTCGATGGGCACCAGCCAGATCTTCTTGGACCGCCGGCCCGGCCGCTCGCCCTCAAAGCTGTCTTCCACCTTGACCACGGAGATGTCGTCGGGCAGGCTGGAGGAGTCGTAGCAGTCGTCGCGCGCTGGCTCGCCCTCGCTGCCCCCATCCAGCGCCAGGCCCTCGAGCTCATCATTGAGGCGCTGGGCGCACTGCTGCAGCCAGGCCTCCTCCTCCTGCACGTCGGGGAAGTAGATCTCCGTGTAGTTGCGGATGATCCGCAGCCGCTGCGGGTCCAGCTCCTGCTTGCCGCCGTCCCCGTAGCAGCTGTACTGCTCGCCCAGCTTCCGGTGGTCGAAGAGCTCCGGGAAGAGCCGGTGCAGGAGGAAGACGGCGAACTCGCCAGGGGACGAGGCTTCGTCCAGGAACTCGGTGAGGTCCTGCGTGTCCACCACGTGGTCTGAGGCGATGGTGCTGCTCCGGTCCAGGGACAGGGCCTCCTCCTGGTCCTTGTTGTCCAGGAAGTGGCTGGCATCTACCTGCTCCGCCTCGAAGAAGCTGGCCACCTGGCCGCTGGGCTGGCTGTCCTCCATCTCCCGCTGGGCCCAGAAGCGGCTAAAGAAGTCGTTCAGCTGGGGAAGACACTCGGCCTGCCACACGGCCGTGTCCCTCACGGACGGGTAGTAGACCTCCACGTAGTCGCGGATAAGCTGCAGGTGCAGAGACTCCAGCTTGCGCTTGGCCGCAAAGCCACAGGCGCTGCAGCCGCGGGAGAAGTCCACGTCGCTGAAGAGCTCGGGGAAGAGTTGCACCAGCAAGCGGCAGGCCAGGTCGCCGCCCGACAGGCTCTGGTCCACGATCTGCTTGAGCTCCGCCGCGGTGAGCTGGTACTCGGGGGGCGGCTGGAACTTGGCCACCAGCTCAGTGGGGCTCACCTGCTTCTTGATGCGGCTCACCTCCAGGGAGAGCAGGTCCACCTTGCTGTGCAGCTGGGACATGTTGGAAGAGAGCGTGTTGAGCATATAGAACATCTTCTGGATCAGAAAGTAGATGTTGGGGTCCCCGTCGGTGGTGGCCGCCACGGTGCCGGCGCAGTCCCGCTTCTGCGGCTCGTTCAGGAGCCGCAGGGGCGAGGGGCTGTTGCTGGAGTTGGCCTTGTCAAAGAGCTCGTACGTGCCCAGCAAGTCGCCAGCGGGAGGGTTCTTCTTCTCCATGATCTTGTGCGAGATGCCGTACAAGGGCTTCTTGTAGGACGGGGCGCTCATGTCGCCGCAGGGCTCCTCCTCACCAGGCCATGCGGAGCCCAAGTTCTTGCCCCTGCCGGCCTGCTCCCCGTTGCCCTGGCAGGGTGAGCTGTTCTCACGGTTCCGCATGCCTGCGAGGAGGGCCTGGAAAACAGACAGCGTGTTAGGCTCTGATTTACTACACGATGCGTGGGTCCGAGGCACACAGGGGTGCCGAGGTCCCCCCCTCAGACGTGCGTGAGGAACCACTTCCCTCGCCCCGGCTCACCCTGCCGGGCCAGGAACGCACAGCTGACACAGCCTTACATGCCCGTCCTGAGCGGCTCCCTCTTCCTAGTCCCTGATGGAGGCTCTGGCTGGGGGCTCCCACTTCCTGCAGGACACTGCTGCCGCGCCTCCTGCACACAGGGCCGGCTGGGCAACGGCCCTGCCGGGGACTCCAGAGTGACCACCAGGGCAAGAGGAGCCCCCAGGGCGGGGGTCCGGCACCTCACTGACCTGGGCCTCCGGGGGCTCTCCCACAGGGGATCGGGACTCCTGCCCACAGCCGCTCAGGAAGACAGTGGTGTGTCTGCTGGTCTGCAGCCTCGAGGACAGCAGACAGGCCCTGAGGTGAGACATGGGGAGCACAGAACGGGGGTCTGCGGCAACTCTACCGCTGCCCAGCGTGACCTCTTATCTCAGGCTGCGAAAGGGCTGGCCCAGAACGTCCCAGAGCTCATGCAGCTGTGGGCTGCACAGGGTGACGGGGTCCCCAGGTTTCTGAGTTGCCACCTCCTGCTGGCCCCGCAGCCATTCTCAAAGAGCTACAGGAGACAAGCCCCAGTGTCTTAAGGCAGCCACTGCACGGAATGCATTCACGCCTCTCCTACACACCTACAAAGCTACCTGCCATGTACCCTCCGCCTTGCTCCACAAAGGGCGGTGAGAGAATTAAGCTCTACCACACTCATTTCAGGGACTATCTCCTCAGCTCACCCAAGGAATGGCATGCACACTGTGCAAGTCCACTCTGCTGGACTCCTCCCCCCCAGGGCAAGCTCGAGATCCCCTTTAAAGACCCCAAAGCTTGAGTCCCAGCTCCACCACCAGATAGCCATCAACCCTGGCCAACTGAGAACCCAAAGTTCTCACTGCTTTCACCAGTGGTTTCCCCTGTTGCCAGGCCCTGAACGTTTTATGTATATAAGGACGAGAAATTTGTAACCCAGGCTCAAAGGAAACCCAATGGAAAAAAAATCATCTGTTCAGCAGATGATGCTGGAACAACTGGATACACACACAGAACCACAAAACCCCAATGCCCATCCTCTGTGTGCCATGTAAAGCAATGAACTCAAAATGCATTGTGGGGGCACCTGGGTGGCTCAGTCGTTGGGTGTCTGTCTGCCTTCGGCTCAGGTCATGATCTCAGGGTCCTGGGATCGAGCCCCGAATTGGGCTCTCTGCTCAGCAGGGAGCCTGCTTCCCCCTCTCTCTCTGCCTGCCTCTCTGCCTACTTGTGATCTTTCTCTCTGTGTCAAATAAATAAATAAAATATTTTTAAAAAAGAAAAAAAAATGCATTGTGGATGTGAATATAAAACCTAACTTAAAAAAAAAAAAACCTAACTTAAATTTTAACACTTCTAGAAGAAAACTAAGAGAAATCCCTTATGACCTTGGTTTAGGCAAACATTTCTTAGTTATGACACCACAATATAAACCATAAGAGAAAAAAATGGACAGGGGCACCTGGGTGGATCAGCCGGTTAAGCGTCCGCCTTCCACCCAGGTCATGATCCCAGGGTCCTCAGAGCGAGTCCCGCATCCAGGTCCCTGCTCCTCCCCCTCCCTCTGCCTGCCGCTCCCCCCGCCCCCCGTGCTCTCTCACTCTTGCTATCTACCTCTGTCAAAATAAATAAGTATATAAAGAGGAGATGCTTATTAGTACCACTTATTAGCCACTGGGGGATACCTTGCCATCCCTACCAGAGTGCGTACAAGCAAAAAGATGATACCCAGTGCTGGAGATGTGAAGGCATCAAAACTCGCACACACTGCTGGTGGGGCTATGGAATGGTGTAACCACTCTGGAAAACAGCTGGTAGTTTCTTAAAAAGATACATATACACGGACTGTATAATCCTGGTATTCCAAGCTTAGATATTTATCTACAAGCAAATTGAAAGCACATGATCCTACAAAGACTTACATACCAATGCTCACAGGAGCCCCATCTGTAAATGGCCAAAACTGGAAACAACCCAAAATGTTATCAGCAAGTATACAAACTGTCCTATATGCATACAATGGAGTATTACTCAGCAACAGAACTGATACACACAGTACTCACGATGAGTCTAAAATAATTATGCTAGAAGAAGCCAAACAAAAGAGGCCCTACTGTAGGATTCCACTCACAGAAAATTCTAGAAAATACAAACATCGATAGGGTAGGGACCTGAGGGTGCAGGAAAGACGCAAAGGGGCACATGCAAACTTTATGGTAGTTGGTGATTCGTGTTATCTTGATCGTGGTGACGCCCTCCCTGATATACACAGATGTCAGAGCTTCTCAAATATTGTGCCATTTCTTTCATCTCAGTCCCAACTTCATAAGGCTGGTTTTTACAAATGTTAAACTTGACCCAAGCCCTTCCTGGAATGTAGTTTTGAGGGTTTAATTAAGCAGAAAAGCTAACTGGTAAGCATGGGTGGGCGTCAGGGGAACGAACACACAGGGCTGAAGCACAAAGTATTTGCTTTTACTGACAGGTGTGTGCCCCAGGCAACTGCAGAATCGGGAGGAACAATGCGCATCCTTGAGATACTTCCACACCCGCGGAGAATACGGTTGGTGTAAGGTGGCCAAGGCTAGTGCTTCTGAAACTCCAATCTATGTATGAATCACCTGGGATCTTGTTAGAATGCAGATTCTGGTCCCTGGGCCACATTTCCTTTCTTTTCTTTTAACTTAGTTTCTTTCATTCATTGATTCATTTATTTTAGTAATCTCAACAACCAATGTGCGGCTCGAACTCACAACCCTGAGATCAAGAGCTGCATACTCTTCTGACTGAGCCAGCCTGGCACCCCCGGGCCTGCCGTTCTAACAAGCTCCCAGGTGCTGTGGGTCCTGAGTGGCCAAGGCCTGGAAGACAGCACCTGCTCTCAAAGTTTGCCTCATCTCAACCTGCCTCAGGCAGATTCAATGTCACCTGTAAGTCTTCAGATAATGAATGCCGGCACAAAACAGTGTATGACGTGTTTTTCTATTGTAGCCTAAAAAGGGCAGGGAGAAAAGACAAGCTCAAGAGGCCAGATTTATGAGGGCAGGTGCGTAATACATGGGTTCAGGTGAAAACAGAGCATGAGGCCACATAAACATACAAGACTTTGATCTTTTTCAACCACCCACATGTTATATTTCATTTTATATTCTAAATTAATGAATTACTTCCTGGACCCTCTCTTTTAAATAATGGAAAAATCTGACTCACACAGAGGGAGGTTAATTTTTCTCCTGCCTCTCAGTTGATAAGAACCATGCGTAAGAATAGCTACTTTACTCCCTAAGTACCTGAAGGTACTTTTTAACGATCCCATGGAGCTGGCCAATACTTTCCTCAGGGTTTGTTTGTATAAGCTGATGACTGTTGAGAGGCGGCACCTGGCCCTCCTCCCCTGCTCCTCCTCCCAGGCACTAGCTTCTCAAGGACGGAGGACCAGGGGCCGGCTGACCTGGGAGGAGCCTAGCACAGATGGCCTGCCACTAGACCCTCCCCCTCCTGGGGTCTCCTCACCCGGCCCCGTCCTCATCACGCTGCAGGATTGCTCCCATGATGGGACCAGGTCATTCCTGAGTCTAGTCCCACCCAGGACCTTGCACAGTGCCTGGGACACAGACATGCTCAATGAACGTGTGTCCGCTAGACTCATGGATGGCTAAAGCAGGGCACGGCGTTTGGCCATTCTCAAACCTATGCATGAGAAAGAGGAGCGGCTCAGACAGGGCACCAACTTTATGAATAACATGTCTGTTGAGAGGTATAAAAGCATGGGTAAGATCTTAGCTCAGCCTGTCTTCTGTGACCTTGGCCAAATCAAATGGTTTTTCATGCTTCGGCTTCTAGAAACTCAGGGATAAATAATGGTAGGTCTCACAGGGTAGTTATGAAGACTTAATGAGATAATGTGCAGAAAGCACTGAGCCCTGTCTGAATCATAGTAAGTGCTTAATAAATACTCACTGTTAGAATATAATTATTATTACTATTCCCAAGCCAGTGCAGAGGTAATACAGGGGGGGCCTTTTATTAAACTAGCTGTAAAGATGACTCTCAGCCTGTAAACAAATGGAGGACCTCCCTGCACTGCCTCAGGGTAAGTCACTCCCAGAAGGCACTTCGAGGTCAGTTTTGCCCTCATGGCTGGGGGCAGGGGAGGGGTATGGGACAACCCCGCTGAAGGTGTGGTTTTAAGCTCTTTATGGTTCTTTTGTTCTGCTACCAGACAGAAAGCAGAGGATTATGAAGGGAGGGAGGCTCACACACGCCCACAACACACACCTCAGAAACTTGAGAAAAGAGGGGATGGAGATGAAAATCTTTATCCCAACATGGTCTGGAACTATGGATCGTGACCCATTAGTAAATGATGAAGTTGATTTGGTGAGTCATAACCAGCATAAGAAGAAAGAAAGAAGGGAAGGCAGAAGAAGGAAAAAAGGCAGGGAGAAGGGGAAAAAGAACAGAAAATAGCAGGGTGCACTGCTATGGCAAGTAAGCTTGGGAAAGTTCTGTTTCTCTGTGCATACAAATCCATACATGTGAGCTGTAGTTCTAACTGTTATAACTGTTATAAGTTATTATAACTACAGCTGTGGGTCACTGCTGAAAAGCACTGCTGTAGGGGGCACCTGGGTGGCTCAGTCGGTTAAGCTTCTGCCTTTAGCTCAGGTCATGGGCCCCGGGACCTGGGATCAAGCCCTGCATCAGGCTCCCTGCTCAGTGGGGCGCCTGCTGCCCCCCAACTCATGCGTGCTCTAATAGATAAGTAAAATCTTAAAAGCACTGCCCTAATTCCAAGTGTCTTACTTGCTAATTCCTATAGGCTGTAAATTAAATTTTAGCAACTTATTCACCATTAAGTTCAATTACACCG